GATGATTCCTCTGTAGAACTGTATCAGCAGCTCCTGAGGGAGGTTGAACTTCCTGAGCTGGTGCAGGAAGTACATCATCTGCTGTGCCTTCTTGGTGATGGTCCTGATGTTGGACAACCACTTCAGGTTCTGGGAGATAGTAGAGCCCAGGAACTTGTAGGACTTTACTACTGATACAGTGCTGCCAAGTATGGTGAGGGGGGTAAGGTGGGGGGGCTCTTCCTGAAGTCCACTGTCATCTCCACTGTTTTGAGTGTGTTCAGCTCCAGGTTGTTGCGGCTACACCACAGGACCAGCTGCTCAACCTCCCATCTGTAGGCTGACATGTCACCATCTCGGATGAGACCAATGACCGTTGTATCAACTGCAAACTTTAGGAGCTTGATAGAGGGGTCCTTCAAGATGCAGTCATTGGTGTAGAGTGAAAACAGCAGAGAGGAGAGCACACATCCCTGGGGGGCGCCTGTGTGTATTGTCCGGGTGCAAGATGTGGTTTTCCCTAGCCTCACCTGCTGCTTCCTGTTTGTCAGAAAGCAAGTAACCCATTGACAGGTGAGGGCAGGCACAGTGAGCTGGGTCAGTTTGGAGTGGAGGATGTCCAGGATGATGGTGCTGAACGCTGAGCTGAAGTCCACAGAGAGGGCCCGTGCATAGATCCCTGGGGAGTCGAGGTGTTGCAGGATGTAATGCAGTGCCATGTTCACTGCATCGTCCACCGACTTGTTTGCTCGGTAGGCAAACTGCACAGGGTCTATGATGTCCTTCAGGTGGGCCAACACCAGTGTTCAAATGACTTCATAACTACAGATGTCAGGGCGACAGGTTTGTAGTCGTTCAGTTCACTGATGGAGGTTTTCTTGGGGACTGGGATGATGGCGGAGCATTTGAAGCAGGAGGGAACCTCACACAGCTCTAGTGACCTGTTGAAGATGAGTGTAAAGAAGGGTGCCAGCTGATCAGCACACACTTTCAGGCAGGAGGGGGTCACACCTTTCTGATCCTTTGTTTTTGAAAGAGGCCACGCACATCCTTTTCACAGATCATTAGAGGTGGGGGGCTTGAGGGATGGATGGTGATTGTCGGGGGAGCAGCTGCTGGATCTGAGGTGGGGAGGGAGAGGGGGAAGTGTTGATTGTCAAACCTGCAGTAGAACACATTCAGGTCGTCTGCTAGTTGACGGTCCTACACATGGGGGGGATGGTTTCCTATAGCCAGTGATGCTTTTCAGGCTCCTCCACACAGACGAGGGGTCGTTGGCTGAAACCTGGGCTTTCAGTTCCTTCAGAGTAGCTCCTCTTTGCTGCTCTGATCTCCCTTGTCAGTGTGTTCCTGGCCTGGCTGTACAAAGTCCTGTCCCCGCACCTGTAAGCCTCCTCTTTGGCACGACAAAGCTGCTTGAGTCTTGCTGTGAACCAGGGCTTGTTGTTGTTGTATGTGCAGAAGGACTTTTTGGACACACACATCCTCACAAAAACTGATATGTCACAGTGTCAGTGAGTTCATCCAGGTCTGTAGCTGCCGTCTCAAATACACTCCAGTCTGTGCAGTCAAAGCAGGCCTGTAGTGCTGACTTAGCCTCCTTAGTCCAGCTCTTCACTGTTTTGAGTACAGGCTTCGCAGCTTTAAGTTTCTGCCTGTAGGTTGGAATAAGATGGACCATACAGTGATCTGAGAGTCCGAGGGCTGCGCGGGGGACAGAGATAGGCCTCTTTTATTGTTGTGTAGCAGTGGTCCAGTGTGGTTTTGTCCCTGGTGGGACAGGTAACGTGCTGTCTGTATTTGGGCAGTTCATGGGTGAGATTTGCTCTGTTAAAGTCCCATAGAACAATGAGTGGAGAGTTGGAATGTTCTAGCTCCAGGCTAATTATCTGTTCTGCCAGGAGCCGTAGTGCGCTAGCGTGGGTCTGCGGCTTTAAATAGGCACCCACCAGGATTAAGCTTAAAAATTCACGAGGAGAATAGAAGGGTTTGCATTTGATAAAAAGAGTCTCTAAGTCTGTGTTACATGTCCTCTGTAGCACTGTGACATCTGTGCACCAACTTTCAACCAACTTATGTAGAAGCAGATTCCACCTCCTCTCACTTTCCCAGACAGCACCGTTCCGATCCGCTCTGTGCTTGTATCGCGCTGTCTGCGATTGAGTCGCTCAGCCAGGTCTCCATGAAGCACAAAGCAGCAGAGTGTGCAAATTCAGAGTTAGTCCTGTTGACGAGAAGGAGTTCATCCATCTTGTTGATCAGGGAGCGGAGATTTGCCAGGTGAATAGACAGGAGTGGAGTCCGTGTTCCCCTCTGGCGTAGCTTCACCAAGGTGCCCGGCGGCATTTTTTCCAGGTCCCATATATGGCAGCTGCACCTCTGATCAGAATGTCCTTACAGCATTCTTCGTTCACAAAAATCAGAGAAAGGTAGTTTGGTGTGAGTTGTCTGATATTTAACAGTCCTTCTCTGATAAAAGTAATCTGAGATGGGTTGCAAAAGACCAAGAGAACAAAGAAAAACATCAAACACAAGAGAGCACGAGTAACTAAGGCTGCCATCGCTGTCGGCACCATCTTACTTGTCATCTTACAGATATTTTCTGTACCCAACCAAGATAAAGAGGAGTGTCAGATAATTGCTGATTAGAAGAAAAGATACAAGGGTGGAATATGCTGTGTGTATGTGTATGCTTTGGTACTTGCTAAGATGAAGTGGCTGAGGCTGATTATTTGGCTGCTGCAAATGATAGTAGCATGCTAACTAGCTTGACATGGTGTTAAGTGGAGGTACTCAGTTGTCCTATTTCACGGTGATGTCAGGAAGGATTTTTTAGGGGGCTCATGGGAAAAATGACAGCAGTAAGACAGTGCGATGTACAGAATGTAATGTCATCACATAACATTAAGCTGTTGTTTTTGTATGGTATCTTCAATTGACAACTGTACCATTATTATACCCACACATTAACAAGTAATTTGTTGGTTAGTTAAACTTTATTTATTCATCCAGGAAATCTCAGTGAGATCAACATATCTTTTTATAGGCTGTATTAATGTTACAGTTGTCAACTAGCCACCGTGGCCATGTAACAGATCAACAGTTAATTAGTTAGTAGATGATGTAGTGCTAGTGTTGTCTTCAGCATGGCATGACATATCATGTGAAATCCTTTAAATAAATGTTGCCATTATATAATCACAAACTGCCTAGAACTCTATAGATTAACGTATGCACTAATGCTATCATGTGTGTAACATCACTTGCCTTGTATTAAAATGCTTCTTTGATTCTGAACATCAAACACAAAACCCCCTGCATTCGAGCCACCAGATGAGGCAGTGCATTATTGCCCTTAACAGTTTCTGGGGACAAAAAAAACCCCCCTCACATCTTAATCTCTACCAGGTCTTACAGCTGTCATTTTGCCTGAGAGCCCCATAAAAAATACCAGAATGCAATGCACTGTTTACATCCTGCTGTAATGGAGAATTAGGGCACTTAACATGCTGTGGAGGACAGAACATTTTTCAGAAGAGAAGAAACAACTGACTTAGTGTATCTTTGTGTGTGTTGCAGGTTGGACTACAGTGGTCCTTCAAGAGAGTTCTTCTTCTTGGTATCCAGGGAGCTGTTCAACCCTTATTATGGTCTATTTGAATACTCTGCCAACGACACCTACACTGTTCAGATCAGCCCCATGTCCGCCTTTGTAGACAATCACCACGAATGGTGAGATTTACATGCACATACGCATGCACACACACAGGTCACAATATTTAAGCCTGTGCACAATATTTATGTGTGTCACTGTACGTGTTTCAGGTTTCGGTTCAGTGGTCGTATTCTGGGTCTGGCTCTGATCCATCAGTACCTCCTGGATGCCTTCTTCACCAGACCTTTCTATAAAGGCCTACTGCGCATGTACGTACAGTGCATGGAACCTCTGCACAGATACATGGATACGCAATCTCAAACATACAAGTGTATAACCTATTTTAAAATGATCTATAGTGTACCTGTATACATTCAAACAGACCATAATAAGGGTTGAACATATAAATATAAAATGACATTAGATTATTCTTGTATTTCTGTAGCTACTGTGTACATAATGTGACTGAGAATAACTGTTGGAAAAACACACCGGTTCACACTTACGTTTCCCACCATGTAGCCCATGTGACCTTAGTGACCTGGAGTATCTGGATGAGGAGTTCCACCAGTCCCTTCAGTGGATGAAGGACAATGACATAGAAGACATGCTGGATCTCACCTTCACTGTCAACGAAGAAGTCTTTGGACAGGTCTGACCCTGCGTGTGTACAAAAGTCACACTTATTTTGCAGTGTTTGCACTGTTTGTTGCTGTTAATACTGCTTATTTTGTTATACTAGCCTTATGTTGGTTTACTGTTTACTTGCCCCTTGCATGGGGATATGTACATGCACATTGAGAGCTGATGTAGCAGAGTCAAATTCCTCGTGTGTCCGACACACCTGTCCAATAAAGCAGATTCAGATTCACAAGAACTACAACCTTGTTACTTATAGTGCAGGTGGTGTTAGGCTGTGGGACAAGCTAACATTTCTGTTAGCTTAAAATAAAATAGGAATAAAACCCTGTTAAAGTGATTGTATTATCATAGTAAACTAGTTTTTATCAGTACATTAGCTAACATTAAATGTTGCCATTAAGTTGTGAATGGGAAAATTCTACTTTCAGCATAATTTCAGCTATCAAAATGTTCAGCTCTTCAAGGACATTCATGTTTCTCTTCAGAATTTTTCTAAACTTCATACTCTTGAAATATTTATATTTATTTTGAAAATCTTGCCCCATTCAAATGAATGGGAAAATTCTACTTCTGCATAATTTCAGCTATCAAAATGTTCAGCTCTTCAAGGACATTCATGCTTCTCGTCAGAATTTTTCTAAACTTCATACTTTTGAAATATTTAGCTTTATTTTGAAAATCTTGCCCCATTCAAATGAATGGGAAATTTTTACTTCAGCATACCTTCAGCTATTTCAGCTATCAAAATGTTCAGCTCTTCAAGGACATTCATGTTTCTCTTCAGAATTTTTCTAAACTTCATACTCTTGAAATATTT